AGACTGAATAATTTTGTTTTTCTTTTTTTTTTCTTATCTTCCCTCTAGCCTTCTGAGCCCCTGACCCTAAAACTAACCTTAACCTTGGTCCTAAACCTAACCCCTCACCCGTAATTTGCATTTGGACCCATGGAGACCTGGCATTGGTCCCCACGAGGCATGCTTTTTTTGGGATAATTGTCCCCACGTTGTAGGAAAAACCCATCCACACACACACACACACACACAATGCCACACTTGATAATTTTTGAAGTGATATTCTGTCAAATTGTTTTTTATTAATATAATTATCAGCTGTGTCATCAGTCATGGAGCACAAAGTACAAAAAAGGCAGAAGTTTTCATCCACAAGCTAATGGCTGTAGCATTTTCCTGCATATAAATAATCATTTCTGATTAGATTTCACTTGTTCCTATGACAACGGCTCAAAGAGGAAGAAAACCCCCACTTTAACTTCAGACTATTTCTAAAGACTTTTGCATGGAACTTCCTTTGTGGCTCGAATTAACATCTCTTACACAAACCCCACCAGACGTCCTGACGCCTTACTGTTAATAAATAAGAACTGCCACATTCCTGTTCCGAACCCCATAAGTTCTGTTGCTTCCATCCCCCATAAGCACAGGACTGTCTGTTCGCTCCTCTTCAAAGGGATCATAAATGCCTTTAACCAGACTCTTCAGTGACTGAGAACAAAGGACCTACATTCTTCATTAAATGTGAAAAAAAGGAGAAAAGATAAAGGAATTAGTGTATCTAATGTTTTCTGTCTTATTGCAAAGATTTTCATCTAATCCATTTTTCTTACAGAAAAGAACAAAAAAGACCATAAAGGATCTACTAAGTTTTGCTTAGTTAACTATTCAATAGCTGTGTGTATTGTGGTGTTAATTGTTTTGATGAAATGTTTTCCTGAAGAAGATGTGTGTTTTATTCCATGATTTAATCCTTAGAAACTTTAGGACTTGAATCTTTAATAATTAAGTGTGACACTCTTATTTTACTGAGGCAAGCTGATGTCTCTCCCTTTTAATTAGATGCAAGATAATTAAACTAAAACGCTTCCTTTTTCTTTGTCATGAAGTAAAGTTTTCCCTCCAAAACAGATTTGATTTGTTAAAAAACTTTTCCTGTRTAAGGTGTAACATTTTTATTGGCCAACTAAAACCTTGACTCCGCCCATAACAGAGGTTTTAAAAAGCTTAGCGCACTCCCAATCTCTAAGAAGAAAAAGTAGAAGACAAGGACAGAAGAAGAAGACAGAGAAAAAGAGTTTTTCAACATCAGAAGCCAGAAACAGTTTTCCAGAAGCTCAGCAGAGGCCCTGCCTGCCAGCCCCTCCCCATGGGCTGGGCAGGATGGTGGCCCTTCTGCATCTCCCGCTGGGTTGAACGAACAGCCACCGTTTAATATCGACTCTACATCTGAGTTTGATTTTATAGAAGTTAAATAAGCTAATTGTAATTCAAGCATCGTTTTTAGTTCGTTTTTCTGTACAAAGTTGAAATCAAATTAAGAAGTCTTGCAGCCGCCTGGGAGGACCGGACCACGTTGTCACCTGCTCACCACCCACCTTTCTGACTGAAGGGCCAGCAGCTGAACAGACACCCTGAGTGTCCGACCGGCCACTACACTGAAGCAGTTCTTTGGGGAACATCACCTGAGATCCTTCGGTCAACCGACTACTTCTGGTACCGCAATCAGCAGAACAAAAGGGTAAAAGTGAACATTTGTCCTGGTGACAAACAGGTGCTCAGACGTAAATTTGATTCTTATTTTTGTATGAGATTTGGTAAACTAAACGATTTTTCTCCCTAATTTAACTAGGACCCCCTTAGTTAAAAACCAGCTAAAAGCAAAACTCACCTCACCTCACTCCAAGCCTCAAACTCACCTCTCAGTGTTTATTTTATTTGTTGTTTGTTTATTCACTTGTGATTGCAAACTGTCAGTTTTACCTGGTTCCAACATGTCATCACTTCTTACTCACCATAGATGTAAATACATTTAATCTGTAAATAAATGGCCCGTGGAGAACGTGCCAACATAAGCTAATCTCACTTTTGTGTCTTGATAAAATATTATTGGTTCTGATAAGGACAAGGACTCATCAAACAATTTTGGGTACATTTATTGTGAGACTGATTACAATAAAGTTACAGGTTTTCGTCTCTTTCCTGGGTTAATTTTTGATCAAATTAAGAGCGTGGTGCCTCGAGGTAAGATAATTTGCGTATTTAAATAATTCACAAATTATCCATTGTAGAATATACCCAAAACCCCTACATGGCTAAAACATGCCCCCCCCCCCCCATTTTATATTATTCTTCAAGATTATATAATAACTCCATTTAAAAAATGACAGACTGTGTGAAAGAACTTTCTGTTTGCTAATGTTGAACCTGTACACTTTTGCATGGCATCATTTGTTCAGTTTGTCACTGTCTGAGTTTATTCAGACCTCTATCTACAACATGTAAGATATTAATTGTTCATAACCTTTCCAGTGAAACCCACTTCAAAAACCTGAACTGTGCCTTTAAAAACTTTAGAGTTGATGGACCCCTTGTTTATTAGCCAAACCATCCTTATACCTTTCTGTCCTCTGTAAGCTGAGACTTGGGTCTGTTTGCTCAGTGCAGTTAGACGTGTCTCACTTCATAAAGAAATTTAATGTATTCATGCCAAAAACACACTACTTTAAAAAACAAACAAACAAACAAAAAGGTTCTTTCATCCACCAGGTGGTGCTGTGGGTTTATTTAGTTTATGTAAAGTGGCTCAGGATCTCTTGGTACAAAGTGTTCAACATGAGGCTGTTTGAGTGAAATTTTCTGTTGGGTATTTTCATTTTTTATTTTTGGGAGGATTAGTTGCAAACGCAGAAGGAGTTAGTTTTTTTGACCTGCCGACAGCACACACACGTCCCCCAGATTTAAGCACCCATGAGGAATTAACAGATGTATATGATTTTACCTTTTCAAAAGCCTATCATCACCCTTTTTGGTCATTCTTTCCGTGGTTCAACAACTAAATAATAATAAAAAAGGGCAAAACAAAACTGAGCCTATGTGTTTTTCCCACACAAGAAGAGACTGTGAAGCTTTGTGTTGATCTTCAATCAGCTTTTATGACATCACGGCGTAAAGCCCACCTCACACCAACGTCTCTTGTCTTCCTACGCTCATCCAGGCCTCCTCCTCCTCCTCCTCCTCCTCCTTGCAGAAAAACACGTAGGAGCTGACATCGATGCTGCATCCATTCAAAGAGTTTCCTGACGTCAGAGAGGAGCAGATGAGGGGTTGTGAGACTAAATATCAGCTCTGAGGCTGCGAGAAAGGAACTGGATGTGGGGAAAAAATACTAATCCTGTGCATTTAGTCAAGGAGAGAAACAAATAGTAATAAAGGAATCCCAAATATTAGAAAAAACAACACTTTTTTTAGTTTAATTGAGAGAAGCCTGTTGATTTAAGCTTTCTCTGAGCTAAAAATGTTTTTCTGACGTATTTCTGAACCATTTTCTTGCTTTCTTATTTTTGTTTGCTCATTGTTAGTTAACTGCTGACATCTCCATTAAAGCTTGTCCAAGTTTAAATTACCACCAAGGAAAAAATAAAATATGCAGTAATTGACATTTAATACCAGGAGTAAAAAAAACCCAAACATGATCTTTGTTATCAGCAATCAGAGGAAAGCCTTTCACGTCAGAAAAAAAACAACTAGGAAGTACCTTTTTTGTGTTTTGTTTGCTTGACGTCACATCTGACTTCTAGTGCTTTGTGGTGTGAAATTGAACACTTTTGCTTCGCTTACTTTGCCACAAGGTTGAGGTGAACGAGGCTTGGCGCAGGCCCAATGAAGAAATCCAAGAAGTCTGGAAAAACAGGAGGACAGAGGGTGTGGGAAGGAGGCTCAGCTAATGACCTCGAACTGAAACTGCAGTGAGGGGCGAGGTAGATGTGCATCAGCTGTAAACAAAAAAGTGAGGCATCAGTAGTTTATTTTAATTTATTTGACTGATATTACCCATAGAACTGCACAGAAACACCTTCAAATTTTTCAAAAAACTGTTTTCTTTGAAATCAGCACTTGACATTTTGTGGTACTTTTAGCTGTTAGCTACTTATAGCACTTATAGCAATTGACCATTTTGCTGCCTTTTTCTTTCAGTTACCATTTAGCCACCTTTAGCACTTAGCTGACTCATTGCACTTAGATTTTTTGGCTTTCAGATAATAATAATAATAATAATAATAATAATAATAGCTGTTTTTGGGCTTGTTTTAACTCACTTTAAGCTTTTTTTCTGAAGTTTTTGCAGACAGAGGTGTTTCTTTTAGTTTATAGTTAGGTCTTTAGTCTTTGATGACTTCAGGGCTGAATAGACATCATGTTTAACTCACATGTTTTTAAAGTCAATCATTGCATTTGAAAGCTTTTTAAATTTCTTACAAAACTATAAAAAACTAACCTCAAAATAAACAAAAATGAAAATGGACACCAGGGAAATATGATTCGGTTGTAAACTGTTATGTGTTTCTTTTCCTCTTTAGCAGAAGAAAGGGAGCTCAGTTCCGTGCAGTCACCTGACAGATGAGATGGGCAGCCTACATTTACAGCGTGGTACACGGTGTTCACCCTCAGTGATTTAAAAGCCTCCCTGTGCTCACGGTGAGAGCGTCCTTGGCCTCCCATTGAAGTATTGCGGTATTTTCCTCTGACGAGCTGGCCTAAGCATTTTCACATCCAATCCAGCGAGGCGTCGTGACACCCTCAGAGCGTGCACACCGTAAAACGAAACACCAGGTGAGGCCTAATCACGGCTGGAAAAACAAGGAGGGGTGGGGGGCTAGGGAGACGATATGGTGCTGGCTCGTGTGGCTGGATGTGAGTCTATTTATATCGAAGGATGTAAGTGCTGAGGGGAATAAAGTGAGGTTGAAAATGGGGACATGGTTTAGTGTGACATCAAGCGACGCTGAGACAGAGTTGGATCCTTCTTTCTCTAATTTTCAGGGAGCAAAAACACAAGTGAGCAGTCTCATCTTGTGGACAGTGAGGAAAACAAAAACTTTACCCATTTAGGTGGCTTGTTTTTTTCTGTTCCTAACTGTGTCTTCTAAGCACTAATACTCAGCTCTAGCTGTGTAGTTGATAGTGAAGTAGAAATTACTGATCATCATAGACGAGTTGTTGGGCATAGAAATGTATATGCTGCATGTTTAATAATTAATTCTCTGCAGTGTGGGTGTGTTTGTGTATAGCACACGCAGGGTGGACCACGCTGCAGTCTGAGTGACATCACTGCCCAGCAGAACATGACAGGCAGCGAGGAGATAATATTACCACCACCGTCCTTGCTCCTTTATTTATCCCTCTCTACCCCAAGAGTCAAGCTTCTCTCTCATTACTGACGTAGTTGATGCCATTACCTTTCTCCCTCTTTCCTCCTTTTTTTTTTTGCACCATTGTGATTTTAAATTCATGCAGCAGCAACTGGATGATTTTTTAGTTCTATGACTCACTCAGTCTTTTTACTTTTAAACTGCATGATTCATAGGCTTGACAGTGGCTTTCTCCCCCAAACTGCACTTAAAGGCTTTAAATCCATTTGTGCGCTTTTGTAGAAAAAAAATAATAAATTCTACTTGTCATAAATTGAATATCTTCTGTAATCATTCATACATGCGTAAACAGGAGAGCAATGTAAAAGAAGGGCGGACTGTCGGCCGCGGGGAAAGTACAGAATGCTGGGTGGAGATAACGGTGTATTTCCTTACAGCCTACCGGCTCTGAGACTTAAATAAATTTGAAGGACATTTTTTTTTTAAAAGTCAGCAAGACTTCCCTTTACATTTGTATACATGCCAAATGGGGACAGATATGTGTAATTTGCAGACAGTCTGTACAACATGACATGTATGAAAATACCCAGCAACGAGTACATCAATGACAAACTAAAACATAAAGAAAGAACATGTTTAGCTTGGCTAAAGGTTCATAAAAAACATTTTTTTCTTTAATATTGCCCAGTTTCTTCACAATTTCTAAATATTTCAGCACGCAAAGTTTATTGGCAACAAGATCCAGATAAAGCAAGACAAACAGCACAAAGAAGGGTCCATTGTTGTTTTGGTTTCTAGAGTACAAAATGATGTCGGTAAAAAATACCCAAACAGCAGACAGGTGTGGGCCAGATCTGGTGTTAAGCTGGAACTACTGACTGGCTGCTGGCATGACGAAGGGTTTGTCAACAGGATGTGGTCCAGATTTGGCTATGATAGTGTTTGGCTCAACTGTGTGTATGGGGTCCAGCTCTATCAGAACCACAACTGGTCCAGTTGTTGTTTGGTGTAAGCTGGTTCAGACCCATGCATAGACCACCTCTGGCAAACTGCATCTGGGCCATCACAGTGCTGTTATTCTTTGCTGTACCTGGGCCAAGTGTTACTGCTCAGGCATGGACACATGGGCCACAACTGGGCCAGACCAAATTTTCTGTTTGTGTAAGCATGCTGTCAGGGTTCCTTAAAGTCCAAACAAATCTGCAAAACATGATGAGCATAAATAGCAGAAAATCTCAGTTTTAAAAAGTCTCTTTAAACTAGACTTAGATTTCAGTATCATTTTTTAAAACTTGAAGCTAAATAAAATACAAAATATGGTATTTAAAATGGAAACCGTGTGGAATTTTACATTATTTTGCTTGAAATGCTCAAACCTTGCGAATGCGTTTGAAATGTTTATGGAAATCAAGCTTGTTTTGCTTCTGGCAGGATTTCTCAACAGTTAAACATGTTACCACCCAGCTCCAGAACATCAACCCATCCAACCGTCCACCACAGCTTGTGAAAAAAGAGGCTACCCTTCTTTTCTCCTTCTAACATCTCTTCGCTCATGCCTCCGGAGTGAGGTTTTATGTGTGTGTTTGGTGTGAGCTGAAAGCTGTCAAAGATGTGTTCCTATGACAACCTCAGTCCAGGCATAAAAACATACAAGGTCAAGGGAAATCCAAATGAGTGTGTGATGTAGATATAGTGTGGCTGTGTGTATATATATATATATATATATAT